GTGCTCATGTGCACAAAGCAGCTGCATGAAGCCAAAGCAGAGAAGCTTGAATGAAATCACAAAGAAAGAGTGTGGATTGTGTTCATCCTCTGTATCTTTACAGAGCAGTAATAGTGTTTTACTGCCATATTAATGCTTTTTACGTATCGTTGAATCTTGCATGTTGCACCTTTAAGGCACCAGAAGTAAAAGCTGCTTCTGGACAGTATGACTGGTTTTATTTGAATCACTGCCGTCCTGCTGTGCAGACATCACGTTAAGGCTGTAGGTAGCAGAGGTCTGGCTAATTACAGCGTCTATGATGTGTAATCTGGACCTTCTGATCTCTGAACACATCAGGAGGTAAAGAAGCGCATGTGATGGTGAGTTCAGCTGCTTTAGTTTGAATGTTGAGGACAGACTGTGTGGGTGTCTGTGTGGGAACTGTGGTATCATCCATCACTGCAGATGGTCCAGTTAGCCTGCAAAGGTCACGGTGTCAGGCTGCCCAGCTTTCCTTTTGTCTGGCGGAGGCTGAAAGTCACGCAGGGATTCCAGCGTGTTCACAGAAACATGAAGCTGTGGGACTCTGTTCACTGGATTTGCTGCTTTAATATATTTCCATGAATCATTTACGTCTGATCTGCTGTAGCTGTTAAATAAAGCCGACACCTGAACCTGTAACCAAACAGTTTAGCTCCCCTCTGTTCAGCGTGACTCAGTGTGTTGTAGAGGACGATACAGACTATCGTCTATATTCTGGCCCAAAGCAGCTCGTCCTGCAGCGCTAGCTAGAGTAATATAGCTATAGTTATTGAAAAGCATAACTCAGGGGATGATACGATGATAAAGTTCCTGAATATCTCCTGGAGTCCAGTTAGATCCATCATTAAGACATGGAGAGAATATGGAGCATAGATCTGACTAGAGCAGGACGTCCTCAGAGACTGAGTGACCGAGCAGGAAGGAGACTAGAGAGGAGACCACCAGGACTCCTATGACTCCTCTGAAGGAGGTACTAGGAGACAAAAATGTGTTTTTTGTCACCAAGCACGGCGGTGGCAGCATCATGACGTGGAGATGCTGCTCTTCAGACTTCTGCTGTGTCGTCGTACATTTAAACATCAGGATCTTTGGGGAGTGTCGCCCTTTTGGGAGCCTCAGGTGGACATTTGAGGAACTGCAGATTTCCGTGATGGCTTCAGGTTGACACTCAGAGTTTGCTGCTTGGTTTTTATTCGGTTCCAAAGCTGTGGAGACGTGGAGTCTGTTCCTGCTGTTGGATTAATCCTGGTTAGCTGGTGTGAAGGTGACAGCAGAGATTGTTCAACCAGTTACCAGGGAGTAGAGGGCGAACTGGTACAGAACCAGCAGAGCTCAGAGAACCCAGCCGGAGTGGAAGAAGTCAGTGTGTTGTAATAAGATGAATCCTGCTGCAGCCAAGTTTGATTTTCAAACAGGCCAGAAGCGATCAGCTGGAAAGTGTAGAGCCTCCGACTGCACATGTTTATGGAGCAGCTGCAGGCTGAGCCGCCCTCATACATGAACAACAGCCTGTTCCCTCAAACATCTACAGCAACAAGACGACTTCTCATTTAAACACAGAGCGGTTACACAAACCACCGCATTCACACACATAGATCAGATTCAGACCAAACAGAAACCAGCGTTCTGTTCAGATGCAGCGTTTAAAGTGCTGGAAGAAGCAGCGTTTGTGTTTGATGAGAGACTGGAGGAGCTCAGCAGGAGTCCAGCTTCACTCACACACCCTCATGTATACTGATGTGGTCGCACTGCTGCACACCGACACACCTCTGAACTCAGTCGCCTGATTCAGTTCACACATAAAACCGTCAGTCTGGGTTTAGATCAGAGATTTACATTCTTTAACAGAAACGCTGCAGATGAATAAAAACATTTGGCTCCAAGGTTTCAGGGTTAATAAACTAAAATAGTTCAAATGGTTTAAACGACAACGTCTCAGGAACTTTAAAGATCAAAACCGGTTACTTCTCATCACGACATTAGTTCAGAATCTGTAATGTTTGGAGACGTCGGTTCATTATTTCTAATGGATGTCGTCACGCTGCA